GGTAAGCTGGATTTGGTTCTTCATGTTCTGGCCCTGTTAACAAGAAGCGAAAGCAAAGACTTGAGCAGGAGGAGGGCAGCAGAGACTTTTCTGGTTTGAGGGGTCTGAAGCTCCCGGGTGAGAGCTTCAGGTGCCCCTGGTGTCTCCATTCCAGAGTACCACGCTTCTCTTTCCGGTAGTAATGCCGTGCTGAGGGAGCAGAGTTTCCCGGTGAGCTCCTTCTACAGACACGGTCATCACTTGCTTAGGCCAAAGGTGACACCAGAGTTGTCTCTTCTGTTTCCAGTTGCGGTGGAATAGGTTTTCTGTCTCAGAGGAGACAACACTGCTCATTTCCCACCTCCGTGCTTGGGTAGAGTCATGTAAAGTCTTTGCAGAAACAGCGTAGTTAATATCCTGTGACAAACTGTGAGATGATAACAGATTCCTAACCGTGAACCAAGCATCAGGGAATGGAGGGTGGAATGTATTTTTGAATAGTTACGTTAAAACAGGCTATCTAGTTTCATGACATAATTACTCGGAATTTTTCAGCATCTCCCATGCTATTTTCTACACTCAAAGCAATCTGCATTCAGCGTTGTCATACCCAGTCCAAGACCCTTCTGTTGCATGCTTCACATTATTAATGACTGCTGAAATACAGCCCATACGTGACACTTTAATTGCAAATACAGAAACTTAGTGTGACCTACTAGTCCTTGAATTTCATTTTGCACAGTTTTGTTTAAAGCATTCATCCAATTAACTGGGCAAAATCACTTAATAATCTAATGCTTGGAGCCACTGAATTACAGAACAGTTACACCTCTGCCAGTTCATAGCAGCAGCCATTACTCATAGGAAATATATAAGGTTTACAATAGGGAAAACACCTACCGCTGCCTTTCTTCCTAGTCACCGCTCCGGCGCGCTGGCAGACGTACGCTGTTTTGCCTCGTTTGTCAGCCGTCTCAGCGCTCACGTTGAAGTAAATGCGAAGAATTTCTGTACTGTGAATCAGTCCGATGGCAGGACTGGATTGCGTAGTTTGTCTGTGGAATGAACCAGATTCTTACTATCAAGAAATCTAATTTCTGAGTCATCCGATACACAAGATGCCAAAAACTACATGAGGCGGAGTACAAACAGTCTACTCAAGTTTGACATCAGATTCAGAATTTGATTTAAAGGCTTTTTTTAAAGCCCTGTGTTACACCATCCTTTGCCAAAGTCAATACCAAGTGCAGCAGTCAGTTTCCCCACATGGTTTGCTAAGACATTTAAACAGTTTGACAAAATTATCTAATTCACTTGAAAATGTTCTAACAAAATCTGACTTCATTACCAAATGTATTTATCCTGGCTTTATACTACAGGGAGAGTCTTTTTTCAAATTCTGGTATGAAATGTATGCTAGACCAAAAAACTTATATTGATATTAATTAAACTAAAAGTGTGTGACCGAGAAATATTTTGGCATCCAGAAAGTGGGCTTGTCATGCTCCAGGTTTAAATATATACTTATTTTTTCTTCCAGGTAGCGAAGGTTTGTTTTAGCATATGCCATGTGTAATGTCTACCTCGGTTTCATTCTGCCCATTGCAAAAACAGTCCTTTCTGATTTGCAGCAGAATGAAGATGGAAAAACAGCTTTCAGTATTAAATCTCAGGTGAATGTTGCACTTGGCTTGCATTCTACTATTTTTTAGCTGTTCTTTCTAAATCATCTAAAAACGCACTTAGTGTCGTTTGTAAAGCATCTCTCTCAATTCCAGTTTAGAATATTACGTGTGATCAATTATCAGCTTAGATGAAACTGATACGACTTAAGTTAAGTGAGTTGGAGTGGTGGCACCAAGTTAGGGATTTGCACCAATTTAGCTTAATGACCTAACAAGGTCACTTTGTAGGATGTGAACACGGTCCCTCTGTATGTGGCTGTGAGCCCCTCTGTCACTTGTGTCGCCCATAACAAGGGGCACTTATGTTCTCAGAAGAAGCTGGGGCACTGACAAGTAAGAACTTTATTGGGAAGGTGATGTGTCTCCAAGGGAAAAGAAAGTGAAACTTTTTTTAGACTGCTGTGGTAATTTAGGCCCTTTCTGCTCTGTAAACATGACAGTAAATGAAGCACTAGTGGGATTAAGACATCTGTGATGTCCATAGGTGGTGATTAATGAGAACTCTGAATCCAGTCTTGTGAGCCTTTAATATAAATTACATGTTAAGTAATCCAGGTTAGAGGACGGAGTTTACACAACTCTCTCTGGCCCAGGCTTCTCAGCTGCTGACTGCAACCAGGTCAAACCGTGCTCCAAACCCCTCTGACAAGCCACTTACCCATACAAAAATCACAAGAAAGGGGGCTTAAAAACAGTCAAGTGAGAAGAGACATTTTCATCAGGCTGCTTAAACACCAAGATTTTTGTTTTCTTGCTTCTTAGCACTTGTTAATTCAAATACCACAGAAATACATCCGTGTAAAGAGATCTCTCTTAAAAATTTAGTCCATTTCTCTTCACATAAAGTAACACAAAGTGCACAGAGCCTTCCTTCTTGCTCAGCCAGGCAACACCAGATTTGAAATTCCTGATGTTTTTAAGGTTGTCAGCAAATACGCAGGATAAAATCCCGTGTGTTAGATTTGTATGTGTCCAACTACCATGTTACACTTAGCAATAAGAGGCTGTAAGCCAGCTCCTGCCCACGTTTCAGCCCTGTGAGGGACATTGCCAGGAGCCTGTCAGGTGCCTCCCTACCTGCTCCCTGACCTGCAGAGCTGGGAGGAAGCACCCTGCAGCACCCCCGCATCTCTGCTCCGTGGGATTGGTTTTGGCGTCGGCTGTGCTGGTGGGATCATGGCATCCGAAGGGTTTGGAGGGTGCTTGCTCATCAGATAGGACCCAACTCAAGTTGTGGCTGGAAGAGCTTCACTGTTGTTGGCAAGCAGCTAGTTTTCCGGAGCATGACTGTTTCTGGGATAAGATTAAGAAATCACCCCAAAAACCAGTAAAAGACATGGGGGAGATTCTTTTCTGAACATTGTGCTATCTCCTTGAGCTGTCAGAATCCAGGCCAGGTAGGGAAACACATTTGTGTACCTAATTCTTACTACTTTGAGGCAATTAGGTGCTGTAACTACTTATGCCTGATTTTTGT